ATTTTAATAAACATTACTGTATAATATATAGATTATTATGTTTTATTTGGAGTTTTAAAATATAAATGCTCATATAGAACACTTAAACGAATTGAATAAACAAATGAATTACTATTTATGAATGTGAATAACAATTGTAATTTAATTACTTCGGAAAGCATTTAATATTGATATTAAATTAAGTAATTATCTTACAGCACGGTTATTGTAATGAATTCATTAAACCTTGTTGCAATAATGGCGTGAAACAATTTATATTTAACGACCAATACCGCAACTCTATTGAAATTCAATAAATTTAAATGGGCGTGCTTCCTTACTATGTGTGCAACACTTGCTTTGAGTATACCTCTAGAGGGAGGAAATAAAAAAATGAATCGAACATTGTTAACTTCCAGTTTTGTATTTTCATTTGTACGTTAACAAATTACAGTCAATGACAGAAGTAAAATAAATAAAACTAAATAAAATAGTAAACTTGACGAATCTTGTTATCTGACTAATTTAAGAAAAAACACCGATATAAACACATAGGCCATTCTTTATTTCGTTTGAAGTAAAACATTCATATATCGACCAGATTGGCGATATATTAAAGAAGGGTCAAATTAACCTTTCGTGTGTCTAAACGCGGATCCACGCGAGACAATGTATTATCTATTGTGTCTTATATCGGTGCGTCCAAGCGGTTAAAAGTTGTCGCGGAGAACCTAACGGGTAACCGGAGCTCCAGCTCGACGTGCAGGAGAAGGAACGGGGTGGTTTTTAGTCAGTAAGAGTCTGACACTCCCTCCCGCCTCACCCAGGCGGGAGCAGTCATTCGATGATTTTCCCCCCTTAAAAAAAAAACCGGTTAAAAGTACCTTTAACCGACCAGCATGCATAAAACCACTGATTACTGTTAATAAAGCGAAAGAGGTAGAGGTAGATGTAAGAATCGTAGCAATTGGCATTCCATAGTCTCTGCCTACCCCCATGGGAGACAGGCGTGTGATTATGTATGAATGTAAAACATTCACTATTAAAACATTCACTATTTTAGGTGTAGGAGAGCCATGCTTTGCCACGAATGGGCCGGCTCGACCGAAGTGATACCACGGCCTCACAGAAAACCGAAACAGAAAACACACTTATAATGCCTCTGTTGTTCGAGGTGTCCATGGGCGGCGCCGATTGCTTAGCAGGTAATCCGTCTGCTCGTTTACCGGCTTACGCCATAAAAAAAAAATTACAAAAACGCATCAAATGCTTCCCTATTCCATATTATTAATAATCTAAATCCATTAGTAGCGTTCCTAGCTACCAATAATCCAATAAAAAGGCGAATAAATCCGCATATGAAAACTACATTCAGATGCAATATCGACGTTTATTCTTCATATTGTACTTCAAAGGAATAACCGCATAAAATATCACATCAAACGAATGCACTATAAGGAGGATTGAATAGGAATTCGAAATGAGAAATCTTTATAAATGGTGCTTTGATATCCATAGAATAATATTATGATTTGTTTCTTTCTTTTGGACTTTTACTTGTGTGAAAAAATTGTAATAGGTAGTAGACAATATATAAAAATTAAAAATATAATTAGAGCACATATTTCTTTATTATGTCGTATTAGGAAAACAATACGTAGATAAAACAAAGTTAAGTTAAGGAGTGGGAGGTCGTTACGTCATGCTACCCTATAAAATAGTGACGACACACGATATTTCAAATCAATATATCGTCGAAAGTATTTAATTTTGTCAGAAAAGAATTTTGTTTTAAAATAATCTACCAGACGGACATTAACATAAAATTCAGCATACTACCTACCCTATTAGGCTGACTACGGTTATGTCCTAAATATATGACAATTAATTTCTATGTTAACATAATATTCAAGTTTTGCTATATCGAATTTCCTGCAATATCGAAACATGAGCATTCATATACCTAAGTGTACCACAAATTCATGACTCGTGTAAGTACAAGTTTTTTTGTGATGCTACAATTTAAACCAAAAATTATAAGATCTTCGGATCAGTAATTTAACATAATGGGGAAGATGACTAATTAATTATTATTTTAATATCCGTCTGGTAGATTATTTAAAAACATTAAACACGTATTTTTTATTTTATTAAGTACGGAAACGAATAGTTTCGAAGATATGTTGACTTGAAATATCGCGCTCGATTAGTTCCATTTATACTCTAAAATGACGTAGCTACCTTTCACTTCTAAACATTGATTTTTTTTATATAATTATTGTTTTCTTATATGACACAATAAAACAATACGTGTCTAACATTTTTTCATTACCTAACTGACGGGCTAATTACGGGCTCATCACCCCTATTATGGCGACTCTATACCAAAAGTAAGTGTCGCGGAGAACCTAACGGGTAACCGGGGCTCCGGCTCGACGTGCAGGAGAAGGAACGGGGTGGTTTTTAGTCAGTAAGAGTCTGACACTCCCTCCCGCCTCACCCAGGCGGGAGCAGTCATTCGATGATTTTCCCCCCTTAAAAAAAAAATACCAAAAGTAAGTAACATTTATTTCAAAGCTAAACATCAGTCACCTACTTTAAATAATAGTTGACTTAGTATCAAACCTTTACACTATATATTTCAGGATTATCACCACCCAAATAAATAAACCCACCTTTTTCCTACAAAGCGTTAAATTGTAACACGTAATTGTATCAACACCTTAAAGAACCAACAAAATATTTAAACGACACAGAATACAACTTGTTTGTTTAGGCCTGTTTATTAATTCACGAAAGCAACACCAAGGTAAAAAGATCAAAAGAAAACGAAACACATTTAACTACTAGAGCTTAATTAATAAATTATGTTTGCGATTAAACAAACGTTTAAATTTAATTTTCTAAGGTCATGGATAAGCTGCTTTCATTTATCAAAACAAATTCAATTTTGTGAATAACTCTACTGACACGTACTGTACAATAAATTGAATAAATTCGACCGTTGTTTATTCAATTACATAAATTTTGTACTATTCCTAGTTATTGAATAGTTGTCTAATGGTGCTATTGGGTTGGAATTAAGGAACTAGAACCTACATTTGGTAGAAGTGGGTACTGTCGAGTGTCGAACTTTATCAACTTAAGTATGCTTCAACTGATTGAACTCGTTATTGGGTTACACGTCGTATAAGTGATTCTGGATTCACTTGGCTTTGGTATTTTCCTTGTTGTTCAATATGGTTGAAATTCAATATAGCTTTTAAAGAATGTTTTTGAACAGCGATGTAATTTCTAAAGTCGAGTACTTCGGAAAGGGATTTGCTTTATAAAAGGTCAAGCACGGGTGAGTATTTAAATAACCTTTTTATAGTTTGTATTTGTCAAAGAAAAAAAGACCCTAACGAAATCTATTAGGATAGATCTATTAGGTAAATTGAGATTTTGTATCAGAAGTGGGATAAAGAATTAATACGCGTTTTGTCAATGATATATGATAAGAGTAAACCTAAATCAAACGTAGGTATAATTATATCTAAACCATCAAGCAAGTTGGAGGCCAAACTTCAATCTATCAAGAACAAAAACAGCATTTTCATTGACTTTCCCAAACATAGGAACCCAGAACGAGCACACGAACCCACAGATCAAGGATCTACGTGAATATATGTTGTTTGACTTGAAAATAATTTATCAACCGCTTTCTTATTAAGGGTCGAATTATTATATTCTAACCCATTTTTTATAATATTATGCACTAATAATATGTTATGGTGACTAAATTGGGTGGTTACTATCCATAAAATATGTATTAATAGATAAAAACAGCAGAAATAGAATCAGATGTTTACATCACGCCTACATTCTCTAACATAAATGAATTTCATAAATTTCAATTCTATAAATTATTTTGAATAATTTATTCAACAATTTATTATTAGTTGAACATAAATTCTGTTGAAAAAAGCTTTGTTTCCTTTGAGATTGTTTAGCAATTAATAAATAAAACGATCACAAGGAATTATCCTTTCAAAAGCCAACATTCTATTACGTTCATCATTTTGTTTGGTTAGTCTTAGTAGTAATTTGAACTCTACTGAACTTTACAAAATGTATAATTTTTGTTACACCATAATATTCAAATGTTCTGGAGATATTGGTGTATTAAAAATATCGTTGATTCAATAATTTTCTTTGAGCTTCGAAGCTATTATTGTTTCTTATACAAAATTCGGATGAATATTAATATTACATAACATACA